CAGAACTCCACACTTGCACAGACTGACATGCCCCATCGCAGGTGGTCTGTCCCCACAGGCCTCCCTGTATCAGAGCACAGCATGCTCCCATGGGACCTGAGAGCCTGGAGCAGAAGGTGTGCTTCCAGCTGGCATCTGACTCCCAGAGGGAGGAAGCAGGCAGCGGCTGAGGCTCAGGTGCGCTTTTCCTTCACTGAGGCCCCTCCCCTGGCCTGCACTGCTCCTTTGGGGGCTTCCTCCACATGGAAGGAAGCACAGGGGGTATGAAATGAGAGGATCCCCATCAAGAACAAGCCTCTGTGTCTCACTCTTCACTTGTTTGCTTACTTCCCTCAGCGGCCTGTGGGGCCCTTGAAACAGAGAGCTCTCAGCCCTAGCACAAGGCCTGACACACTGGAAGTGTTGAGGAAGGGGTGGAATGAATTTTAATCTTCTAATGCCAGTGTTTTCCTGAAGGAGCACCTTTCCATGGCAGAGAAGATGGCTTTTCCTCTCATCTTATATTCCCAGTAAGACCCAAGATGATGCCTTTATCATGTTTCCAAGTCCTCTCCCTTTCCTATACCATGGTGGGTCAGAGAAGGCGCAGGGGTTGCCAGATGACTCAGGAAATGGTTTTCCCCAGGCCATGCTCTTCCTCCCACCCTGCCCAGGCAGCGCACAGATGAAGGTGCCAGTGAGTATTGCATGGGAAGGGGCAGCCCCAGCCCTGGTCCTGCTGCCCTGTCTGTGAGGAATGGCAATGCCTGCCTTGCCACCTTGGCGAGAATTGCTGAGAGCTGCCTTGTGAAGTCACCTGGAAAATGGAAAACGCTGTGAGGATGGGAAGCAGTGGAATCTGTAGGGATGTGCTAGTGCTAATTCATAGCTGTGGACTGGTCAAGGACGATCCAGACCCCACCAGGGTGACCAAGAACAGTGCCTCCATAGGAACTCACTGGCAATGTTCCAAATGTTTGCTTATGATAAAATTAAAAGATGTGTCCCAATGAGGGTTGGAGTCCCAGGATGGCCCACAACATCTGTATAACTCATCAATAATCATACTAAGTATCAACTAAATTCTAGGTATGTACTAGATACATTCATATCATCTCAATGCTTTATAATAACCCATCAAAGGAGAATTGTCCTCCTTTATACCAGTAAAGAAACTGAGACTTATCAACATATAATTACTTGCCAAAGGTCAACTACTTGCCCACAGTCAGGATGCACAGCTCATGACGTACTCTCACTCTTGGAGGGGTAGGGCTGCTGTGAGCCTGCAGGGATGGATAGGGATGGGAATTTGGAAGGACTGCAAATCTTCCCTCAAGATCATTTGTAAAGTCAGCCATTTACCTTCCGCTCCCTGTGGACCACTCTTATCCCGAGAGAGAGGAGTAAGCTCCCTCCTTTCAGCTTTTTCCAAGCTCCAGAACAAGATCAGTGCTGGCCTAGAAATGCCAGTCTTGTCTTCAGAGATCATGGATGAATGAAGCAAGCTGGATCCCCATGGTCTTAGGCACAGGCTTCTGCAGGGCGCTGCCTCCAGCATTGAAGCCCTAGGCTCTAGGCTCAGTGAGGTTAAAAGCCAGCCATGCCTGATTCTGCAGGAGCTGAAAATTGGAGATCTTTAAAAATGTTTCATCTGAACAAAGGGCCGCCATCTGTAGTCACTCAGTGAGGATTTGATAAATGGATGAGGGGATTTGAAAAGTTTAAGATCCTGGAAGCAGTGTTTTGGATATTGAATTGTGGGAAGATCATTTTTTCTGTCATTTTTATCCACTCCTATTTCTACATGCTTCCTGGACAGGGAACTAAGAGAACAATAGACTTAAGGTTCCAAATAGAGGCGAACAACTAAGCAGCAGGAACTGGCTTGGCAGAGGATAAGCAGGGTGCCGCTTGCCTTTGAGATGTGCTGCTGCTCTGTGGATGGGACCTGTCCTTGACTGAGAATCTCCCTGTCAAATCCATCTTCTGAGGAGATGATGCTGGTTGTGTCATTCGCTTCCCAGTGCCAGCTCCTTTTCCCAGCAGGTCTGTCCCAGCCTGCTCTGCTCTGTACCCAGTTCTGGGTGCCCAGAGCTAATGGGAATCCATATATGTACCCTGTGGATATCAGGCAGGCCCTACACTAAGCCCTTAACCTTCATCTTCCTGTTGGTCCTCAAGTAGAGGAGTGATATCATCAGGCCACCATTTCCTGACCCTGACACACCACCTGTTTCTCCATCAGTCTCACTTCAGCTCTGCCTCCTTCCTGGCCCTTTTAAACCTTTAAGAAAAGGGAGATTAGTCTTTCCCTTCTTTATGATCCAGTTGCATCTATGCATCACCCTGGAGTAGTACACATTTGTAGCATTGCAGTGATTGGTCCACATGCATACTAGTCATTCTTCCATTTAACTCATTTATTGAGTACCTCCTGAGTTGCATCCATTGCACTCGGGGGTCCATTAGGGCAAGAAACCATGCCTTGTTCCTGTGTGTTGTATATCTCCTCAGAGTGGACCTTCAGGAAATGTTTGTTGGGAAGACCTTTAAATGATGTCTAGCCCTTCAACACTGTTTCAGTCCTTCCAACCACAGACACTGGAGAATGGGAAGCATATCTCTTAGTTCTTAGCTTAGTTCTGGATACTTAACTCTCAGTGATTCCCCCTTAATTCTCAGAAAACCAAGCTACAATTAACCCCAAAGAGCCATTAATGTTAGCATCATTCAGTGTGGGCTGTGGTGTTCACTCAGTCTTTCTCTGGGTGTTGAGTACCCTGTGGGTATCAGGCTCTGTGCTGGGAACTAGAGCCACAGAGATGAATCAAGAGACATGTTTACAACCATGGCTTCAAGGAAATCCGCAGACTAGATGGAGAGATGGTGAATCAAAGTCAGGACAGGTTAAGTACTGTGGGTGTGGCTCTTTGTGAGCCCTGTTGGGAGACCAGGGAATGCTAATTAGAGGAGGTGGCATGTGAGCTGAGCCTGAAAGAGGAGTAGGATTTGCAGCTAAGGAAGTAGGTGGGAAAATTTTTCCACTTGAGCAAATCCAAAGAGGGAGGAGGGTATGTTTTACGGAAACACAAAGGTCATCCAGATAATTTGTCAGTAACTGGCAGGGGTCAGACAAGAGTGCCTCTTATTACCAGGGACATATCATGAAGTTTCGGTTTCTTTCTCCCTACTGCTCCCTCCTCATGCCTAAAGACAAGTTTTGCAAGGTTATAATCAGAGATACTTTGTCCCTTAAAAGAAAGCAGGGAAGAGCCCCATGTGTAGTGGCACCCTGGCCAGACAATCTCATAGGGTTCTTGGTTTTTCATCCTCCAACCCCCAAAAATGCACACACGGGACCCTCCATGTAAAGGTTCCTCTGCCTGTCAGCCATGTCCTGAGGAGGAGCTTGGAGAAGCCAGCCATGAGCTTCTAGAAGGTGAAGACACTGCAGGTGAGCTGCTTTGCTCCATCAGCAAGATAAGTTAGTCCTTCATATCATTAACTGGTTAACATCTATTGTAGGAGTGGAACCCATAGAGGGTCCTGGCATCTCTGTTAGGGAAACAGAGAGAGTGCCATGATGAGGGGTCTGCTCATGCCTCATTCCTCTTTGCTAGACCCTGTCTCAACACAAGGTCCACCTCACTACTGGAGCTTTAGTTCTTAATGCCAGAAGTCCAGTTTAACCTAGATCATTACTTTTGCACAAATGCACGTGCACATACACACACACACACACACACACACACACACACATTCTCTTTCTCTCTCTCTCTCTCTCTCTCTCTCTCTCTCACACACACACACACACACACACACACACACACACACCCCTAGAGTCTTAGCAGGTCTTATAAATTGGTTATAGATGAAATAAAATTCCCAACTGAACAATGCTAAAGCAAATAGGTCCCTTCCTGTCCGACATTGTCAGATGTGTTCTGAAATGACTGTTTTCATCATCTATTCTGAGCCATAACCGCCCCAGAAATAGCTTCAGCAGGAAAGTGCTTTGTTAGACTAGCTGTAAATTATATTTCAAATGTCTGATGTTGTTTTCTTTAAAAAATAAATAAATAAGTAAATGAAAGTCTAAAATTAATGACTGCTGGGGTTTGCTTTGCTTGTGTATACTGCTACAGATTTGGCTTCTTGCAGATGGAATTTCAGATCTGTTTACACTTCTGTGTTAGCTTTGGGGGGGAGCAGTTGAGAGATCTGGGAGGACAAATTTACAAAGTGGAACTTATTATAAGCATCGGTGAGGCTCGCGTCTCTCTCCTGCTGCCCTTGCCCTCCCCCTCTCCACCTCGCCCTCATTTTTGTTTATTGTGGTTTCATCTACTCCACCTCCAAGTTCGAAGGCAACTGGTTCTTGCAGATGTTCTGACAAGGTCACATATCCAGTTTTGCAAGCAGATGTTCATTCAGCCCCATTTCACCAGCGCTTTGTCATTCAGCGAGAGCAGACCTTGTGGGAACAGATTGGAGCAGCACAAAGGATGGAACATAAAGAATCTCTCAGAGAACCTGATCGCGTTTATGTGCTCAGGAAGAGGGGGATGGTGTGGGGAGGGTGCCAAGGAGAGAAATCCGCAGAGCAAAATTTTATGGGTGGATTTTTTTTTTTATTATTTATTCAAAGACTATTATGTGTTGGACACAGTAAATCATCTATACACCCACACCCAGGAGGTAAATCTCCAGAACTCTTAAGCGTGGGTAGTTCTGCATTTAACAGCTGCCATACAGTAGCTATTTCACTCTGCATTTAGCGACCTTTATCTGTGCATTTGTTTTAAGTTATCGTCAACTCTCCTTTTGTTCCTCTATTGCTATTCTCCTGGTTCTCGTTACTATTACAAAGGGAGCTAAAATCTGAGCTTCTGAATTATTTAAATGGACTCCATGCGTTAGAAAGATAGATGAGGCGTTCTCGTCTTGGTGGTTGAATTGGTCTTGCTACTCGGAAGGTGTTGCCTCTAATGGATTTAGCTCCTCTTGTTTTTACCTAGGTCTCCTATGCCCGCCCGAGCTCTGCCTCAATCAGGGATGCTAACCTGTATGTCAGCGGCCTTCCCAAAACCATGACCCAGAAGGAACTGGAGCAGCTCTTCTCGCAATATGGCCGAATCATCACCTCACGGATCCTGGTTGATCAAGTCACAGGTTAAGTGTTTCTTTTGTTTTGTTTTTTTTCCTTGTGTCTCAGTGTCCCTAGTCAGAGCCCTGTGATCCATAGGCGCAGAGGGGTAATGGTTACGTAGGGTGGTAGATATGGGTCATGAGTGGACAGATTTTTATTGTAAGAGAAAGACTTCTCAATCAATTCCCCACGTTGAAAGTGGGCCATCTCAGGAGTCAGGAGCCCTCCATCGTGGGAATCGGTCCAGCAGCAGCTGATCTGCTTGGCAGAGCTGTGAGGATGATTCAGGCATTGGGTTGAGACTGGAATTATATGACCTTCAAAGTCTCTTTCAGCACTCAACCAGGGAACATTACACTTGTGTGAGTGAAAAGAACCAGGGAGCCAGGACTCACTCTAGCCCCGATGTTAGCATTATAGTGTGAGAGGGAACTTCACACTGGCCCATTCACATAGGAGGAAACAGAGGTCCAAAGCAGGGGATCTGACTTTAGTCCAGCTAGTCAGTAGCAGTGCAGAGATATGAATCCAGCGCCCAGCACTGAGGAACTTGGTCCACAGAATGGCAATCACCACCTTTCAGTAAGAAATGTAAGACACCCCCAGGTTTCATTTTTAATGGCAACATGTTTTCACCTACTCCCAACTTGCTCTCAATTTAAAACATCCCCTAGAAGTAGTTCAGCATGTGCTTCTCCTTCAAGTCATGCAACAAACCTTCATTGAAGCTGCTGTGCCCCAAACACTGTGCAGAGGGACATCAGGGTCCAGAGACAAACACCGGGGTCCAGGGTGGAGGAGGCACAGTCCTTACTGGACTCCCATGTGATGAGCACCGCTAGAGGCTGTTCAGTGCACTGTGAAAGCTCAGGAGAAGGCATGCTATGCCTGCTGGAAATTATTGGGAAGGCTCCATTGAGGATGCAAAGTTTGAACAGGGATTTCTAGGATGATTCGCAGTTATCTGGCAGGCAGATAGGATGCATCCTATAGCATAGGCAAGTAGGGCGCAGTTCTAGGCATGAAGTCGAGGAAGAACTCCACCTGTCCTAGGAACATCTGGCAGCTCAGCAGGGCTAGGCCCAACAGGGATTTTGGGGCAGGATCATCAGGGATATTACATGCCACCCCAAGAAGACTGAACTTTATCTGTTTGCAACATGGAGCCATGGAAGAAAAGTTTTTGTTGTTGTTGTTTGGGCGGGGGGGGGGGGGGCTATTTGTTTGTTGTTCTGTGTTTGGAATGGGAAGCAGTGAGGAACAGAGACCATGCATAAGGTAAAAACTTGAAAAGGTACAAAAAAAGGTACAGAAGATGATATTAAAGGATGTAATGTGACCAGAGTTTGCTCTTCAAATGGATTATTTAGTTGCTAGGGGTGGAGGATCCACTGGAGGGTGAGAAATTGGACAGTGGGTGATCAGTCACAGCAACTAAGGGGAGATGAAGACTGAGCAGGGAGGGCTGGAAGTGGCAGATGTGAGAGGTGCCTGGGTTCTGTGGGTGGAAGTTACCTGTCCGAAGCCATTATGGCAGAAATGCAGGCAGATGCGTTTTGGTGGGTGTGATATTCAGGGTGCCAGGCTCAGCCCAGCCCCACCACTGGGCTGATTCCCCAAGAATGTCCTTGGGGCCCAGCCCATTTCTTTCTGGAGGGTTTTTTGTGTTGTTGTTTGTTTGTTTTTTACCACTTTGGTTTGTTCACTTTTTATTAAGGTTGATTCTCTTTCCCCCAGGAGTGTCCAGAGGGGTGGGATTCATCCGCTTTGATAAAAGGATCGAGGCAGAAGAAGCCATCAAAGGGCTGAATGGCCAGAAGCCCAGCGGTGCTACAGAACCAATTACTGTGAAGTTTGCCAACAACCCCAGCCAGAAGTCCAGCCAGGCCCTGCTCTCCCAGCTCTACCAGTCCCCCAACCGGCGCTACCCCGGCCCGCTTCACCACCAGGCCCAGAGGTTCAGGTAGGGGTGCCCACGTGCCCATTCACCTTGCTACCTGGGTACAGAGCTGGGTGAGGGCGAGGGAAGCCCAGGGCCCTGAAAGATGGGGCAAGGATAAGAACCTCCACCCCCTGGAATCACTGTGCAGAAATCCCCTACCCACAGCCTCAGTTTTCACTCCCATCAAATGAGATGATTGGATCTTCCAATCCCCCTGTCAGTTTACCACCATGACTGTGGCTAAACTGCAGATTCCTTGGCTTACAAACAAATTTCTGTATTTAACCAAATGAGGTTCAGGTTCAACAGGAGTTCATCACAGAGGTGACTGGATTTGGCAGCGTAGACTTAGGGGTCAGGCAGTGGATTTAATAAAGTCAATGAAAAGAGCAGGTCAGGAGGCAGATCCTGGCCAGAGAGAGTGGATTGGCCCGTCCTCCTTTCTTCTGCAGGTAACTGCTGCGTGAGGTGCACAGGGGCGCTCCCATTTGTGTTCACTTTGCTCTGACTATTACGTCAGCAGCCTCTGGGGAAAAGAGGAAGATGTGTCCAAGCCTTATCAGTGTTTCCTGTAGGAACCCCACCCCTGGGGAGCTCCCGGTGCAATGGGGCATTCCCTTTCTCCCGGGGCATTTTGGAAAGGCAGGTTTCTCTCCAGGAAGGCCACTGTGCAAGTGATAAGAATATTCTTGACCTTCCCATAAATAATCCTAGATAATTATTTTATTCCATCCATGTCCCAACTTCCCTTTAATGAAAGGTTCTCCTCCTTTTCAAACATCACATGGAGAGAGCCCGCCCTTCCATCTGGCCACAATGAGAAGAAATATCAGCCTCCGCAGTGTCCTCCCGTGCCCTTGAATGGGAAATGGTTAATGATTTCATGAAGAGTCCAAGTCATCTAATTTTTATTCTGTGCGAGAGCACATGCAGTGTTTATGTAAAAAGCCTTTCCAGCAGGCTTCTAATGGCGGAAACTATGGTTACTACTGCCCCATGGTGTGAATAGCTTGTCCCCAAAAGGTGCTGAGCATGAGAGATAATAGATTATAACAGAATAGCAGTGTACTGGGAGGCGGTTTCCGGTTGCAAATAGTAAGCTGCTTTTTTTTAAAAAAAATCTTAACCTCAAAATTCTTCCTACCCCATCCCCCAAAAGTGTGTAATAAAAAGATTTAGTTAATGTTGCTAGACAAGGAGCAAAGATCCGTGCTGATACCGCATTGTGTGTGTGCATGAATTGTTAACATGAGACCTTTATCGGGAAGTTTCATTATAAAGAAGAAGCCGCCTCTTTTTAACAATTTCACACACAATGTAAAATAAAGTACACCGCAAATGTTCTGAAAGGTGGGGGGATGGGATTAATCCGTGGCCTTGAAAGAAAGAGAGATTCATTAGACACTTGCTTTAAACTCCAGCGTTGACCTGCACATGAATTACTTGAAACGGAGGCAGGAAAGCGGGGAACCACTGGTGGATAGGCTCCTGAGCACTGGGGCAAGTGGCTGAGCTTTTCTTCTTAGAAAATAGAGCATTCTTATTAATAGTTCCATTGAGCGATCTTGCCATCTGTGAGGCATTAACCCAGAGACCCTCCTTCTCTTTGCAGGCTGGACAATTTGCTTAATATGGCCTATGGCGTAAAGAGGTAATTAAAACTCCACAGATTGCCAGATGTCCGTGTTGGCACAGACTGGGGCTAGAATTTTTTTTTTTTTTTAATTCACTAACTTTACTTTTTTTTTTTTTTTTAATTCTTTCTTTTTTCTTCCACCAGCATGTCCAATTCTTCATTTTCATTTCGGACTTCCGTTGGTTTGTTTCTTTTAGGGCACACGACGTGTATTTTTGTGTTTCACTTTTTCTTTTATTTGCAGGCGGGCTCTTGCTAAGGTTCAGGTGCCACAGCTCCCGAGCCCTTGATAGTTGGGTCCTCCCGGGCGGCT